AAAGCTATCTTTTAATTAATGTCCTACTTTTATAGAATTAAAAAATATCAAGTATTACGGGAGGAATTAAAGGCGGAGTAAAGTCTTTTTTTTATAATTGTTTAATATAGAATGCAGATCCAAAAATTTTATTATAAAAAATCTCAATTAGTGATTTTTACTATATGACCTGCACTATGCTTGTAAATCAACCGATGTAATACACCCCAATGTCTTTTGTTCTAGAAGGGAATGGATGTGATTGGCTAATTTACATGAGATGGATTTATTGTTATTAAATGCACGGACTTGACTCAAGGACCGAGTCCTAATCGAAGCGAAAGGACCGGACTTTTAACAGCCCTAGTGGTAGGCCACGGCGTCAGGCGTAACCTGACTCAACAGCTTGAGCAAGATGTTTCTCGCCCCATTCACATCTCTACACGTATAAAGTTTACTGATGACATATGATCCAACCAATCACATAGCATCATATGATATATTACATGAAAACTATTTTACCGAAACTTATAAAAGTTTATGCCCTAAATTTTGGTCGATCTGCTGAATTTTGTCTATCCTAATAGAATGACAGGTTAAATCGCATTGTAACAAGTGAGCTATCATTTCATGAATTTTATTGGTTAACATTGCATAAACTTTACTTTGACGTAGAACCTTTGCAAAATTGTTGGTAGTTATATTATAAATATTATAATTTAGTAAACCTTAATTCCGCAAAATCATCACTATGTAGAGAATTTAATAAGAAATTTCAATCTATCCTTGGATGAAGCGAAACGAAGAATTACATACGTACTCGTTTGTTCTAAAAGTTCCAAGTTGCATAAATAGTACGTACATACGTATGTAGTATGTAGTGGTGATCAATTGTGGGGATAGAAGACTTCAAAATATTTTGAGTATTTATCAGTTTTGGATTTTCAATTATAATTTTTATAGTATCTATAAGTCTTTATTAGTTGTTATTATAAACCTAAAATACGTATAGAGTCGGATGATATGCAATGAAGTCAATAAAGTATATATTAATTACCAGAAGATCGCGATAGAACATTGTGGCAATTTAAGAGTACAGTATTAGCCACAATTGCCGAATTAGAATAGATTTGTGGAGCAACCAAAAATCCGCAGATCGACCAAAATTTAGGGTCGGAATAGACCGGAATAGGCCGGAATTGATAAATTTCTCCCAAAATCGCACAAAATTTTACTAATAAAATGGTAGCCCAGGTACTAATTAAAGCTGCCCAGATGATAAGTAATAGTTATATCCTGGGCAGTTGGGTATAAGCGGGGCTGAAAGTCCCTCTTATACACATAGTGCCCAGGGTATAACTGATTTATGCCCTGAGATCTTGATATAGTATAATTCTGCTGTAGTATAGTTGGCTAGTATTATTGTATAATGCCGGCCTAGCTCCGATCATATTCCGACCCTAAATTTGGTCGATCTGCCGAATTTTGGTTGCTCCACTAATCTGTCCACAGAGGAATTACAGAGTTGCAGGATTAGCCACCAATTACACCAATTATTACAACAATTATTACAACAATTATTACACCAATTGGCAGATATATTCCGTACTCCACAATATTTGGGGTTGTTCAAGAATTAAAGTTTGTACAAAGAAACCATCTGAAGTATTTCTAGATGATATTCTACACAATTGTCACTATTTAACCATTGTAAAAAAAATATATGACCCGATATTAATTAATGCAAAACAACCTTAAGATTTCGCTAGACGAGAAAGATTGTCAACAATATAAGCATTGTTTATTTTTTTTGATAGTATTTACATATAATATAACCATATATTAACATTAACTCGGTTTGTTTTAAAAAATTTTGACAAGGATGTGGAGTACATACACATTTTGACATACGCATCTTATTCTAATACCTTTCTTTGAGAAGTAGGACTGTTCAATACAGATATCAATACACGATTATAGTTTTCAATATTTGTTTGGAAAAAGAAAACTGTTACCATAATAATTCTAATAATTCTAATAATTTGGATAGAATTGTTTACTATGACGTACTTTGAACAATCATCTATGTATTCTGTGCATTGCAATTCAAAAGCCTAAAAGAGACCAAAATTTCTTTACAACACTATCGTTATTATTATTGACTTAAAATATTAAATATTTAATTAAATATTAGTTTAAATATTAGTTTAAATATTAGTCATTGAGAAACTTATATAAAAACTTTTTATCTACGAACATACGTGCTCGTTCCTTTAGGAAAAAAACATTGTCTTTTTTTTTATTAAAACAAAAGACATTCTGTTTTTTGAAAAAAATTAATCAATTCGATTACATATTCCTTAACGTTAACGTTAAATACGCATTATTAAATATATACTACGTATTTTATGATAATTTATGATAATTTATGATACGTATAAAATTTATGATAAAAATTCTTATGATATATATAAAATTTATGACATTCCGAGTTGATTAAAAAAAAAAGCCACAATTCATTTCTCTTAAAGTGAGTTGATTTTTTTCTCTTCTGTTTATATAAAAGAAATATTTGATGAATGGTGATTTTATTGGTGAATCTTGTAATACGGTACCGGTAATAATGAAACCATAAGCGATGGAAAAACTCGAGAAACAAACTCCCATTAGTAATCATATGTAACTGACCTATGACGTTTTCGTACAGTGCACCAAAGAGTTGGAATATTTCTTAGATTCACGGACTGACATGTGAATTCATCTTTCTTTTTTATCTTTTTTACCAGCAAAAGAATAATCAAATCCAAAGATATTTATATACTTAAAGCCTATCTTTTCCATATACCGATTAAATCTCATTTATTTTCCTTTTATATATTACGGTAAGACCCTGTTATTTACACCATTATACATTTCCTCGTGCTTGCGAGAAAAAAAAAATAAAGAGGCAGGAGGAACTAAAATGTAAGAAAGGGCGTTTGACTAAACTCACTTTCTTTGCTTTTTCATTTCCTCTTGCTTTTTTTATGATCAAGCTGCAGCAATTGTATTACTGTTGGTCTTATATTAAAAATCCTCTTATACGCCTTATTTTTCTTATTTGCTTAATTTACATTTTTACCTAATAATTCCCTTCTTATTAATTTATTGAAATTTTTGGTTATCAATAAAAGCTTATAATATTAACTAACGCCGTATGTATCTATATTTTTTCTTTTGTCTTTTTTCTTTATATCTTGCTTGGGTAGATATTACGGACTTTGTGCCTCAATAAATCTACAATTCAAAAAATATCTAAAAACTTCTCGTTTCAAATGTTTGCTTACAACTTTATTTCGAACTTAGTGTTTGGTGTCTCGGAACTTAAACAATCTAGCCTACCAAAGACTGCTCAAATACCTACAAAATCTCGAGATTCCTTCTCCAATTCCTCTTACTGCAGTAATCACAATCACGTTAAGCCACATCTCAACTTTTATCAACAGAATACTTTTAATAAACACCATCACTTCCATTATCACCAAAATAATAAACATTATTCAAATAAAAAATCCTCTTCCCAAAAGGCTCGTTACTCAAAAGTTCCAAAAATGCCTCCAGCTGCATACTCAACTTTTCATACTCATTCTACAACAGCCTCTGCTTACGTTGCTGCCACTATGAATTCGCTTAATTCCAATAACTCTTCAAACAAATCCCCTAATAACAGAAGAGCCATCGATAACAATTATAGATATAAAATAGTAGATGATATTTGTGCTGAAACAAATTTATATACTATAATTGGTGTTGATCGAAACTGTAACTCAGATGAACTTAGAAAAGCTTACATCAGTGTAAGTCTTTCATCCGTCTTTTAAAATGTTTTTATGTTCTTTCATAACATATGGAAATGGCTTGTTATGTTAATTAGCTATAGAAATTTTTATATTATCCAATTATACTGTGATCTTAAAGTTTTAATATAAATTATGATTTATTTAGAGGTCCCGGATTTGTCATCCTGATAAATTTCCTGAATATCCGAAAGCGACTGAAGCATTTCAAAGTATGCTTTTTATTACTTTAATTTTTCTTGTTTATATTTTTTTAAAAAAATTCTCTAATTAAATAATCTCTGCTTTTTTCGCTGTTTCAGAATTGGCATATGCTTATGAAACGTTGAATAAACCATCAACGCGTCGTGCCTATGATATATCAGGAACTAGTGATCTAGGTAGTGTCAATGGTACTGGTGACGAAACTTTACATGGTGTTTTATATCAAGTATTTATGATTAATCTTATTTTTAATGTTTTATCTTTATCCAATTTTACCTTTTTACTAATTTAATCTCATTTATTTGAAATAGTTATTTTTGGAATTCATGGATGGTGACTTTGAAATGATCAGAGCTTTAGTCAGTAAGTAATATACATATATATATATATGTGTGTGTTGTTATTAATACTTGTTAACCTCTCTATTTCATCTCTATCTTCAAATTTTGTTACTTAGATGCTCTAAATGAAGGTAACCCCGGTCTCAACTTAGGTGAAGATGCTATTGAGACTTTGGAAACTGCTTTCCGAAGAATGAGAGAATTACTTTTAGGTACATTATACTTTATATAACTCATTTATAATTTTAATTTACAAGACAATTCAATTCACTCATAATATTATTTCTTTTATAATATTACATTATGTTAGCTGGTAAAAAATACGTTAAAATTGTTCAATTTGAATTAATCCGTCTATACGAGATTCAGCAACAACTTCGTTCTCTTTCATACTTTGATGTATTTGGTCGTCTGCGATTGACCATCCAACTTGCTCGAATAACGCTAACGATACCACTATTAATTGATAATTCAATGAAAGCCGAATTCGAGCATTTAGGTGGTAAATCTGGTATGAATAAGGGACTATTAGGTGATAGTATGGCTAAAGTCATTACTGGTCTAGTGGCTATTTTAGGTCGTGGTGAAAAGTTTGTATGAAACATGTAGGTGTTGTGCGTCAAAAATAGATTTTGTGTCTGATTAAAATATTTGTAAATTTTTTCAATTTAACTTCGATGTCAAAATTTTAATCTATCTCAATTTCTAAATTTACGTACGGCATCTATACATGAACACCATAATGGCCAAGTAATGTGTGAAATTCCCGCAAAAATTATATATATATATATATATATTTTTCTTTTTACATTACATTTACAATTTATTATATACATCAAAAATAAGTTTTTGGTATTAATGATAAATATATTTATATATATATATATTTATATATATTTTAAAAAAAAATTTTTTTTTATACTTCATTTAGTTATAGTTATTATTTCAAACTAGTTGTAGATTTTATCACCTCAATTTCATATTCGTATATATTCGTATTGATTAATCTTTTTTGATCGATCTTTTGATCGATACACATTTATTATTGCATATCAATTTATTTTGGTTTATATGATATTTCTCTGGATTTATTATTATTCTAATTACGCTTATATGTAGTATACATCATACTTAACGGCGTAAATAGACAAAAATAATTCGGGTTAAAATTAAATGTATAAAAAACCAAGACTGAATCGAATATAGATCGTTCAGTTCTAAAATCAATGAACTCTTGTACTGCGTTAATGTGGAAGTACTTCTATTATGGTTTAAAAGAACGGCTGGCTATAACGACCAGTAATGACCTATTGAGTCTTTTTTTAACATGAAATATTACTGTACATACAGTATATCGATACCCAGTAGGTTCGTGAAAGATTGTGTTCAATAGTAGAGTTATACCGGATGTTTTTTAAACAGCGAGCATTTACTAATTTTCCCCAAGTTTCTATTGGCCATCAGTAAATCGCATTTCTGATTGGACTAAATTGACGATCTCCAATAACGTGACACCTAGAGATGTACGGTCAGTTTTACCTTATTTAGGGGTCGTCTAAAGCCGGGTCCATCACGTGACCTAAAGCCAATAGAATTGTTTATTTTGATCGACACGGATCAGCCCGAAGAGACAAAAAACAGCGAAAAAAAGTGAAAATCGCAAAAAATACAAGAAACGATAGTCTAAACCCATCTTGGTGCATTAATAAAAAATGTCGGGAAGACAATTTTACTATAAACATACCCTGACCCTAA